GCGAACGGCAAACTTTGCGATTTAATGATTCGCTTCTGAGTGTCGGCTTAGGCGTAGGCGTGGGCGTGGCAAGTGGGTTAGCTCGGGCTAGGCTATCGCATTTCAGCTACAAGACCTATCGAAATTGTTTCAATTCAGCTTTCTTTCTTCTGCTTCTTCCGGGTTTTTTTTTTTTTTTACCAACCCAGATTTGTCAATGCCTTGACACAATGATGCATAACGTTATCTGAGATTTTGAGAGCTGAAAAAGAAGGAATTAATCTTGCTAATGTTTCCGACTTTGGTCTGGGGCCTTGGCATTTACGGCGAGTCTCAATCACATAATGCGATTGTTGATTGTTGATTGTTGATTGTTGCCTGTTGGCTGTTGATTCTGGACTAGCTTTAATGCTCTTTAGTCTATGTATGTATATACATATGTATGTATGTCTCCTGCTAATTGCTGCATATTGCTATGGCTACACGCATAATCATATCAGCTTCCACACGATTTAACAGCAACGCAATTGAGTTGCGTTCGCATGGCAACAGCTCCTTCATGTCCTTCAACTCCTGCCGAGCGGGCTGAATGCCCCATTGCAACGGCAACGGCAACGGCAACGGCAACGGCAACGGCGACGGCGACGCGTCTGCAACACTTTTTTGGCTTCGCATTGATTGCTCCACAAATTGCGCAATTGCTGGCTAAAAGCATTGCAAAAGCATTCAACAACTATTGTTACCTTCCATCTAGAGAGCTCTCTCTCTCCCTCTCGCTCCTGCTCTGTATATTCTATTCAGTTGTCCTGCGCTGCTTCCTTTTTGCTGCCATGACACTTAAGCTGCGATAAAAATTCCACTCGATAAGCATTTTGTTTTGCACCGTGGCATGAGTCTGGCGCCGTTTGCTCTAAGCTGTTGCCAGCAAACAAATTCATGGCCATAATCGTTGTTGGGCGGCTGTTAAAGCAGCATGTGGACAGAAACTCCCACTCCTCCTGCACCTCTGAGGCGCATCTGAAGCCCCATACATCAAAAGAAAAGAAAATAAATTGCCAGAGAAAATCAGGCATGAAATGGATGCAAAGTAAGTTATAGAAACATACAGGGAATATATTTTCTGGAATGTTTTAAATGAGATGAGCCAAAGGAAACAAGACTAGATACTGTTATTCGTTTAGTTTTTATAGTCGTTCACAAAGAAAAACAATTAAGAGAGCTCTAGTCGGCACTGCTCGACTACAATATACCCGAACCCTTCGAGGCACTGATATTTCCATAATTCTAAGACGCTTTTCTGCTTACATACGAAAACTCATTTGCACGCTTAAGCGCGCATGGGATGCAGTACGGGGTTACTAGCAAAGCTTAACAAAAATCGAGATTCCATAAAATAAACTCTAGTTTTGAAGATGTAGGGGATATAATTTTATAGCTGATATTAGATAAGATTTTTGATCGGGGTAATCGATTTTTTAAGCAAACGCGAACTTACCAAAGAAACTTTACAATCTCTCCAGCTCTTATATCTTCAAGCATAAGGACAGGCGGGCAGACATACAGACCGGACTAAATCGTTTCAGCTCGTCGCGCTGATCAAGGATTCATGTATGTATATACTTTATGGGGTCTGCAGATCAACAAAGCCAATTGAGGTCGATCGGCATGCGCTATCCAACATTCTGAAAAAACAGCTTAAGTTAAATAATAAAGTAAAGTAAAGCAAATATAATAATACAATTAAATATAAATAAAATAAATCATTATCTAAATAGAAAAAAGTTAAAGAAAAACAAATAAAAGTAAAATTAAATCAAATGAAAACAGCCAATATATAAATAAAATAAGAGCAGAAATATATATATTTATATACATAAAATAATCATAAGAAAAGTCCAGCCGACTATGAAATAGAAGCAACAGCCCCAAAGCATTTGCAGCTCTTTGAAATCAACATCAAATGAGGAAATGAGGAAATGAAAAGACAATTAATATGTCAATGCAAACAATTTATTATCATTCCGAATTGCAAACCTTTAAAATATCCTTTGCCATTTGCTGCCTGGTGTTCTCAGCGCTGTTTGTTATTTTTGCAAATTTCAATGCCATTTGGTTGGCTGGCCAAGCCGAATGCGAGAGCGGAAAAAAGACTTCATGCCGGGCAGGATAGGCGGAGGGGGCAGGCGGAGGGGGCAGGCGGAGGGGGCAGCCAGTCATAATGCTCATTATGAACGGCTTAAGCGATTTCCCCAGGGCCTGCACTAAGCCTCTTCACAGTGATTGAGATGCCCAACCATACACCCACACATACGCACTCACATACACACACACACATATGGGCTTTATTTATGCATATGCATACACACATTTCTATTTATTTGCCGAGTTTTCCTTTCTTTTTTTTTTTTGTAAAAGCAATCTGAATGAAATCCGATTTGCAGTCTATATATACATATGTATATATATTTATATAGATGTTGTGTACTGCAAAGTCAGCAAATTGCCAGCTGGTAGAGGAGATATATGCTTCTTCTTCTCTCTATACTCGTTCACGCCGTCAGAAGGGGATTATATTGGCTTGAGGCAATGGGTAAAACTATGTATATTCCAGCTAGCATTGGATAGTTGAGTTGGTCCATTGATTTAACAATAATTAGGTTTATATAAGGCGGGGCCTTCAAAGTATTGAATCGAGAATTTGACAGTTAGCTAAGAGAAATCATCTTCACGAAACATGCCATAAAGGATTTAACTGTTCTTTCACCTGGCGCAAGTATTATGCAGTCAGTTACACCCCACTGCAACATTCCGATTTGTTGTCAACATGATTTGGCTGGCATGTTTAACAGAACCTGAAAATACGTAATAATTAACGTTTCACATAATTTGTACGTGCATATTTCCTATATTCCTTTATTTCATCATGAGCCACGTGCGAGGCAAATGGACAACGTCGTCGTCTTTTTGTTGTTGTTTTTTTTTTTTTTTTTTGGCTAATGAAAATAATCTGTCATCAAAAAGCGTATGACAAAGGCCACACCCCTTAGCAGCGGTGGGCACAGGTGTAGCTGGCGCGCGCCCCCTCTGCCCCACCTTCAGTCACATGCAACATCAATTACACGGCACACGCCCCGCCCCCTTCCTCTACCACTCCCCTCTCTTGATGGATTTGGCTGACTCCCAACTATTAACTCTATGTGGAGTAGCTAAAAGGGTTGCGATTGCAGGAAATTGCATTTGTGTGGCCAAAATCAGATAAGATACAGCTAGCAAATGCTTCATGTCCTGCGTACTGCGACCTACGTCCTGTGCGAAGGATATCACATTAAAAGCGCATCAAGTTGAGCCGAGCCTGGCAGCCAAAGGCGCATCCCAGCAGCGGAAACTGTTGCTGTAATTAGATTGCACGAACAATCGAGAAGAAGGAAAAAGAAATCATCATCAATTGGACAGATTAGGAACAGCAACGAATATTGGATGCTCTGGCCTAGGTGTGTAGTTGAAGCTAGTAACGAAAAGTTATATTACAATTTTATAATACATCTATTAAAATTTAAAAATAATTTTAAATTGAAATTCTATTAATTTTAAATATAATAAAACTTTAAATATAATTCAGAATTTATTTAAAATATACAAAAATAATGTATATACAAAAAAAAAATAATACGAAAATACCAAGAACTTTCATTTGATACGAAATTTTATGTAATTCTAGAGAATATACAAAAAAAATTAAATATATATTTGAAGTATATATTTTTAAATATGCAAAATTTTCCAAATACTCGCTTATACATATTTATTGTTTTTATGACTTACAT